ATATAATCATTTGGTAATCTTGTGAAGGTGTAACTCTCCTTTAGAAGATGTACATGTTCTTTAAAATCTTCTGCATTCTTTGGAAGAAAAGAGAATATTTCTCTGAAGCGAGGTGTAAGCTCTTGCAGTGTATAAGGGAGTTGTAATTTTGGAGCTGGTAAGTCAAAGTATGTATCTGGAAAGTGATATACAATATATGTTGACTATAGTTTCTTCTTGTATTTAGCAATTGATTTTAATTCTGCAAAGGTGGTAATTAGAAATAGATCTCTCAAAGGTTTAGTAAGTAGTGATGGTGACTCTAGAAGTGGTAACCTCTTGTCATCAAAATATGATTCTGGGATTCATGTAAATATATAGGCAAGTCTTAGTACCTTTGCTTTTACAACTGCTTGTTGTTTATCTTTGTTTGGGAGTGTAAAAGGAATTGCTTCTCTAATTTCATTATCTATAAGATTTAGAATATTAGGTAATGGTACGAGAAGGTGGTCTTTCTTAGCTTTAACTGTATTTAATATATCTTCAAATTTTAACTTAGTTTGTATTTTCACAAAGTTAATTAAGTAGAAGATATGTTGAGTTATCTTGTATATATCTAGTTTCCCTATGTTCAAGTTTAGGAATGCATCTAGTGATAGTTTTGTACGTAATTTCATGAATATCTGATCTCTGTTTTTTTTGTTTGTAATACAGATACTATGTAATTTTTTGTATGATTCTAGAGCATTATTCATTAATAATTCAAACTCAAGCTGATGTGCTGGATGAGACGCTACTACTCTTGTAAACGAGCGAAAGAAAGCTATATCACGGTATTCGAATTTCTTTTTGATAGCATGTGGAATATTGAACGAAGTTAGAAGTATATCCAGTTTGTATCTAATCAACTCTTCCATAGTCTCTGTTGTTATGAAGAAACTGATGATTCTGTCCAAATTTTAAGTTTGTGCATCATACCTATTGAGTTTCTTTTTTCTGATATCATATAGACTTTCTTTGAACTGCTGGGCCCAGATACTTCCATAGTCAGTTCTATTTTGAGTATTTGTTTGTCTATGTAGGCCTCGTGATGTAATATAGCTATAAAGAGGATGTATGCTTTTACTGTCTTCTATTGTATTATCTGAACCTGCTTCTGATATGTGATCATTTTGCTCTACCAGGACAGGTTCATTCTTTGTCTCAGTTGTTTGGGTCACCTGCTTCCTGTTGGCTAAGTTTGTTGTTTCTGTATCTAGCATGGGAAAATCAGTACAGATCTCTTTTCCTTTTCTAGTTGATATTTGCTGCAGTTGATCCCAATTTGTGTTTGTTGTATTGTAATTCTCAGGTACCACAAGATTGCTCAAATTTTCAGAGAGGGAAGCATCGCCACTTTGTTGCATTAATATATCATTTTCAGTTTGTATTTCATTTTTGAGAAGAATATCCGATTTTTGAGATTAATATAGAAAATTTGTCAACCTCTACGTATAGTAGAAAAAATGGTATGTTATTAATCATTTCTGAAACAATTTCTTTATTATAAAACCCCAAAACTGCTAGTTCTGAATGCTTGGTTTTAGTTTGACTTCCAGTAACTTCTTGATATACCAAGTTGATAGCTGCTGAAGGTGTATCTTGTATATCACTAAATTTTTTACCCACAGAACATAAAAAACTGGGTTGTAATGGGTTTGAAGGTTTGTTAACAACAGATAAAACAAAATTATAATTATTTATTTTAGTTATCATACTCATATGAAGACGAAAAGGAAGATTTAAAGT